TACCATCTCGAATGAGAATTGAGGAGACATGCGGATGGACCCCAAGGCTGTCTGTGAAAACGAGCTGGACCGGCTGGTTTCGCACGGTTTTCCTTTCCACACCTGCACGGTTTGCTCTGGAATCTTTGGTCGCGCATCACTACTTTGTGGGTGTGTGGTTTGTTGAGGTTCGGTACCCTTGTTGGGGTGGGTTTAAATGTTTCGAAACCCAAGGAAGAACCACCTTCTCTTCTTCTCTTTTTTGGGGGGCCCTCCTGAGACTCTCGTGGAATCTCGGTACCTAAGGCGCGGGCTTGCAAGCGGTTTTGATCTCTGTCATCTTGTCCAGCGGCAGCACTGCGGTATCAAGGGCAAATGCGTCCTGGGCGTCAGTTTTCGGCGTGGTGGGTGTCAATCATCACCTGTCCTCAACCCAGCCATCATGCTATCAAGTTGCTGGCCAGGAGCTTTGAACAGCACACTCAGCAGACTAACGTGCAACCCAACAAAACTATCCAGTTTAGCAGAATCTCCTTGCTTGGGCAGATCCTTTTTCTGGGTCCCAAGTTCCTTTGCAGGCAAAAGTGCCAGATCGAGCCTCCAAAATCAGGCGGGCAGGAGCTGTGTCGCCTTAGCTCCCTGCAAAGCTGGTGGGCCCCAGAAATGCAGCCATCTCTCTCCGCCTCAGGTGTCAGAGTGTGCAACCGGATCTTTAGGTGCCGATGAGACCATCGAAGAGAAAGCACGATCAAACATCATCATCACTAGTTGGCCCCAGCTGGCATCCTTTCAGGGGCCCTGTTGGAATTCATTTGCAAAATTGTGTAACTTGGGTCCGATTCTGCACTAGGCCCAAGTGCTCGATGGCAATGAGGTAATTAATAGGACCCCGTGTCGCAGCATTCAGTCAACTGCGCACACAACCACAATACTGATGGACAAAATCTAGCACCACTTCGGGATGGATGGACCCTATGAAGCTGCAGTTTGCCCACCCATACTATGAAAAGAGCCAAGGAAAAGAGGACCCGGACCCAACTGCACGATTAATCTTGCTTGGGCAAAGAAAGGGGTTGGAACATGTAACATGTCACATCAACATCCTCCGCTGGTTTCCTCCAACAAATATCAAACATAATATGGGTCCTGGTCAACCATGGCTATGGTTACCTCAACAGGGGCCTTTTGGTGCTCTACAGCACCCTACTAGACCTTCCTACAAACCCGCTACCCCAAGTCAAGGAACCTTTCTGACCATGGCATGCGCACATTTGTGGCATATGGTGTCAACGTAGAGAAGTCGACCCCCAAAATGGCTGGCGCCTTTGGTTTCCCAATCAACCAGCCTGAAAGGGAGCCAACAAACACAAGTCTGATTCACTCGCTCCCTGTGTCCATCACCTTACAGGGCCCCAGAAGCTGATAGTTGAGGCCAAGGGGACACCGGGCTCGCACCCGTTTTCGTCCCATGCCTGGTGGGCGGCACGTGCCAGGCATCGCCTTGGATGGGCAAATGGCGAGGTATGCGTTAAAATAGGGAGACCCTCAAACGTTGGCACGGCTGCCCACTTAAACCCAAGTCTTTTAGTTGCATCTGCTCGTCTGTCGGAAAGTCCTCTTTGCGTACCTACGGATTCAAAGTTGCCAGTTGAGGCAAAAAGCTTCTCGCCATGCTGAAACAAGATCTGTCAATGCGTGCATACCGGGAAAATGCAATGCCTGGCCTGGAGGATGTCATCCCGAACTTGGTCACCCTGCTTACTTACTCTGCAAGCAGCACACCTGTTGCATGAATATTCGTTTCTCCACGATTTTGTTGCCACTTGGCAAACACTGCGCCCATCACGCAGGCGAGCCTGTTCAGTTGTGTTGTGCAGCCGCTTGATCGAAACCAAAGGATTTGCTTCAAGTCGTCAACCTGTTGAGAACGTGTCCAGCACATCTACAAGCCGCACTTCCTCCCAGAAATGGATGCGCATCAACCAGAGACAGCGCAAGCCTGAGCCGAAACATCACCCTAATCAGTTGCCGTGCCCTGGTTGAAAGCTCCTTGTCAGTTATTCCATGGCACCATGGTTCTGGGAAATCACATGCGGCCCATCCGCATGCCCGCCTTCTCACTGCGAAGGTTCTCCTCGATCATCACAGAAAGTGACAGCATGTGGCAACCCAAACCCCAGCTTCATAAATCTGCAACAACCAGGAGTGGCTCTGGTAGAAGCAGGGCGCCCAAGAAAACCGGCCATTTTGGGAGGTCCCGAGCAGGTCATCTACGCCGGTCAAACGAGCGGATCGCGTTTGAAAGACCAGGCGCCCACATCCAAGCGCACCCCGCGCGGCGCAGTGGTCGGCGGCCACTCGAGCCATGCGCTCAGCGCGCCATGCGGCATGACCTGAGTGGAAGGGACAACCCGCCCCTCCGGCGGCTTCACCAGAGGGATGCTTAGAATCTCTTAGAGGTTTTGAATCAATTAGGGGTTTTGAGAAGCTGTCCGGTGGGTACGGGGTTCGGATGTTTCTGAGGCCTGCCAACACCACCGAACACGCAAGGTAGGCAAACCACACGACACATGGATGGTGCAGGCCGCACCGCATCAGGTTTTGGGGTGGGACTATGATAGTGGTTCTGACAGGTAACCAGGTCCAAGGTCCTGAACACCAGCAAGAGATGAACAGTCTTTGGCGTTCGGAGCGACATGCTAAGCATGCAATTCCTTCCATGACCCTTCCATTCCCCACCATTTGTATGTTAGTCGCTCAAGGGAATGAGCAAACAAGTTGGCCACATGGTGCATGATGCTTCCGTTCCGCGTCCGGAGAAGTTGAAAACATAGTCCAATATTGGTAGAGCTCATGGGCAATCCGAACGCCTAAGTGGACAACTGAAGCTCTCACAGGTGCATGCGCCACATGCACATTCTCTTGTCCAGTCTGCCGCGACAACCCAGAGGATAGCCAGAATTAGCTTTGCACAAACACAAAATTGATGCGGAACAAAGCAGGGGTGTCCATTTGAAGGAAAGCAAGGGCCCCAACCCCAAAAAACATCTCACCACAAACACAAGCATCCGACACACATGGAACTCGCCTGGAGGTTGCAGGGACCTAGCGAGTTTCATGCGGGAAGCGATGGGTTCAGGATGCATTTACCTTAAATCGATGCCACCCGCAGTAGCCATGAAAAGGACGCCCTTCTTGGCGCCCAGTTTGAGTGGGGAACCACCAGAAGGAGCAGCTTGCCGCGTGCCAGATCTCAGAGGCGCCAAGGCAAAATCCGTGCTGTGCTGTTTGATGTCAAGGGGAAGCCCTTCCAACAGCACGACCATAGGTGTCCTTTTTTTTGAAAATAGATGCCCATGGTAGATGCCTTGAACCACCAGGTAAACCAGGGCCTCTACTTTTTAAGCAAAACAACCAAAAAGGACACCTATGGCTACCACTGGGCGGCCGGGAGATCGTAAACCAGGGAAGGAAGTCTGAGCTCAGAGCCGCAGCTCCGCTCACCTCCACATCTCGACTTGAGCCACGGCGCAGTTGATTTCTCAGCCAGATTTGCCAAATCCACGCATTTCTTGCTGGTTTTCATTATTTGGTTTTGGATGGTACCCGTTTGGCGTGGTCTGAACAGGGGTTCCTGCCGGAACCCAACTCTGGGGACCTAAAGTGCTGGAGAACTTTGTCACTTCAAAAAAGCGTGGATTCCAAGACCCCCCGATGCAAGTACAAACACTTCCGAAGAAGCACAACGTCGAGTGGAACCACGTTCCCTTTGTAACCTTGCACGTTGCGTTCCCTTGCAACAGGATCTGCGGGTGGGACAACCGGGTTGGCGAGGAAATGCTAGGCAAGATCGCTTGCTGCTTTTTCGGCCCTTCGGGCACGGAAATGCCACGACTTTGAGGCTGCACCGAATTCCAGGCCGGTCGGATGCCTATACCACACAATTCCTCGATGGTTCCAGGTTCGCTGGGTGCATATTGTGCCCAACGCAGAAACACCATGTGAGAAATGAGCTGCGTCTCTCAAACGGCATCCGCAAACCTTTCAAGGAGCCGACCGAGACACCTACATTGGTCCTAGCTAGATGCAGAGGATTCCACTCGGTCACTGCAAGAGTAGAAGCCGAATTCCCCGCATTCGCCAAACTCTGCCCGGCTCCTCTGGAGATTCCGGAGGTTGTTCCTCGCGGCACGCTGTCCCGAAACCAGTCAGCCAGCCATGGCAATTTTTTCGCAGGGACACACCTCCAACTGCAAATTGCCATGGAACCCCAAAATGCCCCCAAAGCACCTAATGGTTCTGGGCAGAAGAAGAATACATGGCAATTTTTGCCATGTCGCTTCTCCCTAACCTGCAGGGTATCGGGATTGTTTTAACGCACCGGTCAAAAATCCGCGAAGTTGAAACTTTAGCAAAGACCTAGGGGTTGATTCCCCATTATTTTCAACCATCGTTCTTTTCAAAAACCAGCAGTTTCCCTGGGTTTTTGATGGTTTCCTGAAAAGAAGGACCCCTGCAAAGAATGGGGAAGGTAGCCCAAGAAAAGACATGGGAGAGGGAGATGAAACTCTGAGTCAACCCCTCCCCCAACGCCATGGCCCTGGCCGGAAGGTCTCAAAGGCTGCCATCACCACTCCTTAGGCGCTGATGTCAGGCTCACGACGCCATTCGACGTGCAATGACATGCATCCGGCGAGGAAGTAAGGACAACTAATTAGAAGGGTTTGTTGCCACACATTGAGTAGCCCAGCAGCGCATGCCAATCGGTAGTGGCAAATCGGGTGTGCTGTTTTTGTTTCAGGCATCGGGCTCTATGGCAAGCAAAAATGGCTGGTTGCCTTTTTTGTGTAACCAGCCTCGGTTCCAGCTGCATCCGCTGCCCAACTTCCTGTCAGCTGCCGTAGGTTCCCCGCATGGTAACTGGAAACACTGGGAAAGGGAGCACTGAAGTGGGGTTCCCCCCAAACCCCCCTTTTCGCTGTTGCAAATTTACCTCTTCAAGGTTTGGAGACAATGCCGCGTTAGGTCTTCCGGCTGAGACACCTAACTCCAAACAAACCCACATTGGTCCCAAAGGTGATGGTGCGTTCGCTCAATAAATAAGGAGGGAAACTGTCTGATCCAGAGAGTGCTAGGTTCAGCCAGGATTCCGTTGACAGCGTTGCTGCAGGATTGCCATGAGAACGGCCCTTCCTCTTGGCTGCAGTGGGTCTTGGTAAAAAGCATGTCGTCGATGGGGTCCGACAGCTTGTTCCTGGCACAAACTGTGAATCAAGACGGCAGCACCCCTTTCTGGTGGGGACTCGGGACTGCCTTCTAAGGATATATGAAGTTCTAATATGAAGTTATATGATTGTGGTTCAGGTAGGTGAAGCACCGCCCAATGCTCTTGACAAAGGGAGGGGAGGCGTCCAAAGGCATTGTGAGTGCTTGAAGGCAAATCTGGAACGAGACACCGCGGAAAACAAGTTGGAGGCATGACCGCACTGTGACTGCACACCAATTCAGAGCGACTGATGATGGAAAGAAGGGTTGGTTCATTCTATATTCACATTTACACCAGAAGCGCAATGAAGTAAAACAACACATATGTCACAAACAGCAGTTTCACGTGAGTAGTGCTCAAAACCCGTTGGCTTTTGATTCTACCAAGATGGTGATAGATGCTTAAACAGGCCTTACTATAGCAACCATAAGACCAGGGGTATTGAATGACAGGTATTGCACGACAAGCCAGCAACCTGTGCAGTACCCGTTGAACGGGGAATTGCACGAAAGGCGCACCCCTCTAGGGTTTGACTCACAGCCAAACAACAATGGCTAGCATCCCAAGGAACATCATGCGTAGGATCCATTGTTAGATGTTGAAATGAAGAATGGTAGCATCCACAAGCAAACTCATTTGCAGCATCGATTTGGATCCCTTTCTTAGGAGTTCAAATGAAAGATGGCAGTATCCAAGTATCCAACGGAACAAAAACATGTGTAGCATCCGTTTGGAAAACAGTGTTAGGTGCTTAGATGAAACTTCGGTAGCATCCAAAGACATATCATGGCGAAGCGTCCATTTGGAACCCATTGCTAGATCTTCGGTGTTGGAAAACCATGTGTAGCATCCCTCTGGCATCCATTGCTAGATGTTCAAATGAAACATGGATGGCATCCAGCGTAGCATCCATGTGGAACCCATTTGTCAGACACAACAAGTTGCGCGTCAGCGTTGAGCCGAGTCGAAAACGCGCGGCCAGCGTTGTGCGTGCCTCTCCACTGCCACAAAGTTCCGGAAGGCGGCCACGCGGTAGATGAGCCTATGGGCCATGTCCGAAATTGTGCTGGAGGGCGTCCCCCAGTTCTATGCATCTGGCTCCACGAGAGAACATGGGAGCATTCTTCGAGTTTTGGGGTCACCCACGCTATCCCGCGCTCCATTTGCTACTTCCTGTCACACTTCCAAATTTTCACGGGTGGGGGGTTGCCCTAACTTTCCGTTTGGCCAAAATTTGGGATCCAAAGAAGAACACGCCACTTGAGCTGAGACAAACTCGCCAGATCCTCCTCGCTTTTCGGCATTTGAAAGCGAGGGGCGCAGGGGTGCAGATGCCCTTGCCGTCCAAGGGCACGAAGCCGGGGGTGTGAATCGGGTTGTAGACGAAGGTGGCCCAGGCGTGGCCCACATCTTCGTGGATCCAACTGGTCCAGACCTGACGGCGACGGATCAGCACTCACAAAGACGAGCCCAAGGATGGCCTCTAGCTACCATGGCACAAAATCTCCATGTTGGTTTTGGGCATGCCTTTTTTCTTCCAAGGGCATCGCGTCATGCACTTTCACCCTGCTGTAACATGGGTTCATGGATCCCAGGTGCAGAGATTCCCGACCAAGGAATTACGTGACGAAACTGAGTCACATGTTCGGCGCGCATCTGGACTCGAGAAAGGGCGGGCCGAAAGCTGGCACCTCTTGCCGGAAGAGCTAATGCTTCCTTTGCCACCAGCCTGATTTAGACAACCTCCAGCCGCCGAAGCGTGCGAACCAGGCACAAAAGGGCAAGTCAAAACCGGCGGCGCATGGCTTTGAGACATATGTACTGGCAGCAGGTGGTGAAGCAGTCCAGCCAGGACAGGGCAGAAGTTGGTCGAAGCCCCACTGCCACAAAAAGGTGTGCCAAATGCACCCAATAACCCCTGCCGAACCACCCAGATTTTGAAGGTGCAGACCTGAAGGAACTGAACTGTGAGGCCAGTCTGTGGGATTACCCTCATCGACCCTGCCAGAACCCACTGGCTCACCTATTTTGCCTTAGACTTGGATGGTAGATGAATCCACGGTCTGGAAAACCCAACTTATACCAACCCCCTTGTAACTTCCGTAAGGCCAACTCGCGGGACACACATGCGAGTGCACAAGAACCGTTTCCAACAGGAAAGTAGTCTTCCAAAGCGGGTCTGTGTGCTTGCTGGCAGGGTGCCCCGAATACTCCCCTGCAAATGAGCATGGAACCAAACAAACAAAACGCTGAGGTATCTTCTTTTGGGATAGCCTTCTCTGAGGCAAACGCAGGGGGAAGCCGGGAAACATGTATTTTGCTGTATTCTGCGCGTCTCGAACCTCGACCCCCTAATTGTGGCACTCAACTTTACAGGACACCCCCCTCCAAAACACGTTGCAAAAAGGGAAACTCACACTAAAACAAGGACAAACACGAGGGAACCGTCAGCCAGAGAAACGAGAGCGAGATTCAAAAAAACTACAAACAAGCCAAAGGAACTGGTCATTCTCACTTGCCGACAGCACCTTGGAAATCAAAGATTAACCTTTCGTGACCTTGACTCATGGCTGCCAAAAACCCGCAAAACCAACAGGTCTCACGGTCCATTCGCTTTGGCCCATTAGCAACGGCTCTGGGCTCCGCGCCAGGAGCGTGCGCAGAACTCGGGCCAAGTTCTCCACGGAGACCTCTGGCAACTCTTCGACAGCGGCAGGCGCTGCCTCAGGCAGCTCCGCCTGAAGCCGCGCCCGAGAAAAAGGTGGTGAGGTGCCCAAAATATCTCAAAGTGACGTGGCCTTTTTCGGGCGGGGGGGCGGGGGAAGGGGCAGAACACCCTTAAATCGCCAACTGAGACATGTGGAGGACCTCACTACTAAATGTGAAAACGGGTATGTGCGAAAATAGGGTGCCAGTGGATGTTCTTGCTGGTTCCCTGTGAACCAGCATAAACAGACACCCTGAAAAGCACAAGGGCACCGTGCAAGGCCTTTGTTTCCAAGTCAGTTCTGGCCGGAGTTTCTTTGGCCCAAATGGTCTGCCAAGCAGCGGTCAGCATCGGCAACCAACAATTCTTAATGTTGACTTTCAAATTGGGCCTAGAAGGCAAACAAAGACATAGCATAAGAAAACTGGGGGCTGGTTCTTCGAAGTAAGTTATTGTTGCTACGCAACGCCCTAGCATGCAAAATGGTCCAGGTGTTTGTTTGGCAGGCACTGGCACAAGCCTGGGTAAGACAAAACCCGTCAAAAAAGATCAACAAAAACCAAAGAACAATCACATGGACGTGCACATGAGTGCGCTCCAGGACTACGGCCGCCATCCACTTGTCCAAGGGTTGTTCGATTGCTTGCATCGCTGTCGCTTTCTAAGGGTCGTCCCGCCTTCTTTTGCAACACTTGTTCTTTTCAACAAACATCTGGGTCTGTCTTTTTGGAGAATACCCTTTTTTGAGCTGGTTTGAGCGGAACCTTTTCGGCAAGTCATTCATAGGCTGGCGTCTTCATGCCTGAGCGGCTCGTTAATCGGCTACTAGAAGTTTCTGGTTCGGGGCGGCTAACCTCCCTTGACTCTGGCTGGGCAGCTGTAACATGGTCACCTCGAAATCTTCCCCAGACTTTCAGTGGCCACGCATGGCCACGCATGTGGCAAGTGACTTTGCCGGGGCGAATGCAAGGGATGACAAAACAAAAGCCAGGCGCCACTACTTTGACCGAACTGCAAAAAGAACACCCCTCCAAGTTCACTCTAGAACAAATTGTAGGCGTGTGGCAAAAATACCCCCCCCCCCCCGACCCACTAAAAACCCGTGGGTTTCATGTATGTGGGGTTTCCATGACTTTTGGTTCATGGTGTCACGACCCCTGGCTTTTGGGGAACGACCCCGTCTTTTTCGAATCATGGAGACTCCAGGGTTCCCTTTTTGCTGGTTTTTCAGCAAAGCTTTGGGTGCCTGGGACTGCTGCTCCGCGGTCTTTTGGGCTTTGGAGTTGCGCCAGCGCAACGACAGCAAGGCATCCTGGTCCTTCGGCCAAGGAAGCAAGAAATGACGGGGATTCCAAAATTAGGGGGCTTCGAGAACCAGGGGGCTTCTCTGACATGTCCTTACAAAAGACGCCTTTGGCTGGCCCATGGCTGTGGGAAAATAACAACGAATCTGTGACACCAAGGTTGTGATAACAAGGTTGTTGGTTTGCGTGACCACTTTATTACCTACAATATTCCCTTCATAAGGGGTAACCAACCCCCCTTTTTCACTCTGATTGGCACGCTTGCAACAGAAACAATCATCTGGCTCGAGCGCTAGGTGGGGTGGGCGATTGGATGTGAAAACGCACGCTGAAACTGGCTGACGAGCAATGGGGCATGAGTTCACACTCCCGTCACATCTGCACCTGCAGCCTGACTTCCTATGAACAATCCATGGCCTGGACATCAAATTCGTCAAATCATGGGGCGTAAATTGCAATCAGTTGCCATGTGCACGGTGAGCACGCTTGGTACTGGTTTGGAGCTCCAAGGGCCACTTCACTGCAAAGCCAGTTCTGGCGCCAAGTAATTTGCGACGAGCGACGGAAAAGGACTTCACGCCACCCTTCCAGGCTGTGGACGTGGGTGGTCCGTACTGGCTGGGAGCTAATACCACTTCACTGCAAACTCGAGGGCTCTTGTTGCGCCCTTCCTTGCCTCAGCTTGCCTGAACCCCGGAATGGCGCCAAGTAATTACGTGAAACAAGTCAGGATTAGTGCCAAGTCATGGTCTCTCATTTTCTCCTCTCTCTCTATCTCTCTCTTGAGCGTTGGCGCAAGAGCTGTCCGAAAACGCCACCAAAGATACGTTCATGTTGCCGGTGCAGTTGGACGTGTCCTGAGAGATTGCAATTGCCATAGGTGGGAGAGCGGCCACGGTTTGACAAACGCACACACAGACAACGCAACCCACGAAAGGCCCGTCACTGGCCGCCTGCAAAAGGGCATTTAGTGCGTGCAACGGGATGTCGCATGGGTGGAGACATGAGTTGTTTTTCGGGTTGAGCTGTCTTCGTGATCAGGTGGGTGTGAAGGAGCTGTTCAAATTGATCATCCATGTGGCCGGAGGAGAGTAGCACGTCGTGGTGGTCCAACCAGACAGCGGCGAAGGAGCAAAAGGAAGGCTGTTGAAGGAGTTGGGCAGCGTGGTGACATGAACGCGCGTGACTGCGAACACTGGGCATGTCCTAAAAGCCATGTCCAAATCCCAATTAAACTTTGGACAGGCTGCGTCCTCTCCTCTCCTCGATGACTCACCTGCGGGCTCGGGCTCGACGTGGTCAGTGTTGTAGACAAAGGTGCTGGATGACGGGGTTGCAATCCTGGATGTCGCGCCATAGCCAGTCCGAATCGGCCTCCTTTCCTTTACCGTAGAGTGAGTAAGTAGACGAGGGAGGGGCTTAGGCTTGTGATCCGGGAAGGTGTAGAGCAAAGAGTCCACTTCGCGCTGGCGGCCGAGGCGTTGGCAGCTGCTACGCAAGAGCAGCCGTTGGGAGTCGGCAGAATGCCGTGCGTGTTCAGGCAAGCGGTTGCTGCTCGCCTCCGTATCGCACATGCCGGCGACGGCCATGTCCACTGTCAGCATTGCCCTTTCACGTCGCTTGTTGCGATTTATGTACGTCCGGATCAACTCGTTGGCGGCCTCTTGCTGCCTGCACAATCGGCCAAACAACTAGCCCAGTCCATTTGCCAGGGATGGTCTTCTCGATCGCCAGGCGCTCGGGCTGCCCCTCTGATTCAACGTGGCGACGTGTAAAGCATCATGGCTGCTCCATTTGGCGGCAGCCAGCTGGCCTGAACACCTGCGCCTTGCGCTCCCACTTCAAGAACGCTCGCACATCCTCGCGGGAGTGCTGCCAAGCTGGCGAAGCGAATGCCCTTGGAAAGCCCCATGCGGCTATTCTAAGATGCCTCGCGGGTTCTTCTTGGGCAAGGTGGCGCCTCGGCCCGCCTTGGTGATGGCCTCTGGGTTGCCCGGGATGGTGCGAACCGGGGGCTGTGAAGCTAGTGGCATGCGCAGCAGCCATGTGCTGTCTTCAGCCCCATGCTGGGTGGCACAGTGCGTGTCGTAGAACTCGTAGGATGAGCTAGCGCGCTGCTAACCACCGGTGTCCGAACGAACTCATTCGAGTAGCAGGAGCAGCGTCTGGAAAAGGTATTCGGGCTCGAATCTCAAAGCCCATCAATTGGGCCAGGAAACTCCGACAGATTGGCTTGCTTGCACGAGAAGCGCGTGCAATGAAGTCAAGTTCGAGGCCGCGGTCAAAGCTTGTTTTGCAGCAAAAGGCGAAAGGCGAAAAATCTGGCTCAATCAAGCGCTCTGTGGCGGCGTGAGGGATTAGATATATAAGCATGCGCAAAGCCGCAAAGCTGAAACATG